GAAAACTAAAATGCTGCATTTAAAGATACAGATGTTAAAAATGCTATAACAGAACCAAAGACAAAAACCACGTGATTATCTCAATTGATGCAGAGAAGGCCTTTGACAAAATTCAACAGCCCTTTATGCTAAAAACCCTCAATAAACTAGGTATTGACGGAACGTATCTCAAAATAATAAAAGCTATTTGTGACAAACCAACAGCCAATATCATACTGAACGGGCAAACACTGGAAGCAGTCCCTTTGAAATCTGGCACTAGACAAGGATGCCTTCTCTCACCACTCCTATTCAATATAGTACTGGAATTTCTAGCCAGAGCAATCAGGCAAGAAAAAGAAATAAAGGGTATTCAATTAGGAAAGGAGGAAGTCAAATTGTCTCTATTTGCAGATGACATGATTGTATATCTAGAAGACCCCATCATCTCAGCCCAAAATCCCTTGAAACTGATAAGCAACTTCAGCAAAGTCTCAGGATAAAAAATCAATGTGCAAAAATCACAAACATTCCTATACACCAATAACAGACATAAAGAGAGCCAAATCAAGAACGAACTGCCATTCACAATTGCTACAAACAGTCCTGCGTTTCTGGCCTGAGGCCTGCCGAGGTCTTAGATGAACTTCAGCTCTTTTTACAGCTCCCCAGTCTCAGCACTCTTTGGCGGATGTCCTGATTGGTTGGGAGATTGTTACTTCCTAATACAGTGGCGATTACTTCTGAAAGATGGGGTAATACCAACAGCTATCATTTCTGACCACTTACCGTGCACCATCACTGTGCAAAGGATTTTTATACATATCCTATTGAATCCTCTCAAAACTCCTGTGTGGCGAGCAGGCACCCCAGCAGCCTGATCCTAGTTCTGGCCCTGCTGACTTTACGATTGCCTCCATCCTGCATTTGACAGGTACAGAAACAGGTTCAGAGAAGTGAGGTAAATTCCCCCAGATTACACAGCTAGCAAACAGCTGAGCTTCTGCGCTCATTCTAAGGTTCAGTTGACATGGATTTGTAAAAAGATGTATTTTAGGCTCTTTACTATATAGAAAACCTCATTTATCTATCACTAAGGTTACTAATAGTCCTAACATTCTGTGAAAACTTATCAGCTGGTCCTTAAATGTTCTGAAATGAGTCTGAGCGTGAGATGCCTGTGACAACTGAAGAGTTGAAAAAATTCTGCATGGGAGCTGAAACCCTATTAAGACAGATCTTGATTTTTGTTCCTGAATGCCACAATCAGAAACAAAATGTCATGTTTTTGTATATGAATGTCACAAGTGACAAAGCATATGTTGCAACTTTGCTTCTAATGGTTGAAAAAAAAAAGAGAGCTACATTACCATAATGTTGGGATTTTCTCAATGATATTTGCATTTTCATTTCTATCAGAAGTCCATTTTAGCAAAGGAATGTAGCCTTAGTCACTTGAAACTGCCCTACCCTAGAAAATAATTGTAAATGTAATAAACAAAAAGAATAGAAAATGCCCACGGTTGGTGAGGGTGGGGAGATTCATCTGGGGTCAGAGTCATCATGTAGATTGATTTATTCTTCTTCTAGCATTCTTTTTCAGGAAGGAAAACTTGAAAATTTTCTAGACTTTAGGATATTTAAGATTTCCAAGGAGTTGGGGGAAAGGGAAAAGGAATTAAATTTCAGTTCCACTGGCAGGGATCAAATAGAGATTTCCTCTACTCTGAAAGAACCATTTTACATATTGCAATCACCTCATAGTTCTGAGTCTCTCTTCTGCATAAGGCATGTACAAGTTGTTTTGGGAGGATACAATAAGGTCATAATTGCCTTAAAATTATTCATAATAAAAACACATTTTGAGACATGATTCTAAATGTTAAACTTAAATTTGAGCGATTTAATTGCCCGTTGAATAGGAATGAAATCCCACCGGTAGGCAGTTATTTCTTACAACCACTGTGTGTGAAATTGAAATCTTAAGATACCATTTCAAATATTCACCTTCTCTAAGGAAGTTCTCCCCAAAGAGTTGTGAAAGATAAGACACTGACCCAAAGTCATATGCAGTAATCTCTTTTTCCTTACACACTCAGGTCAAAGTAGAAGCATATTATTTAAAAGAAACTTTATGCCCTGAAGTTGGCTGTTCTGAGGTTACCTCTTGGAAGGCAAGAATATATTTATTTTAACAACTGACTTGAGCCCCATGCAAAACTGTAACAAGGAAAGTAGTAATTTATCAGATTAAATAAAAACAAGCAGATGCAAAGAGATCACTTACCAGGATAATGAACATTGAAATGGAAAATGTTTACATGTTTTATTTAGGAGAAGAAGGGGATGAGGGGAAGGGATCCTGTTTCCTGCTTTTAAAAAACAGGAAATAGTTTATAAATTTGGGTGGGCAATTCTTATCTTAAACCCTCATTTCACCTTTAAATTTAATTTCAAGCTCTTTTAAAATAATGATGCCCTTTGCTGTAACTATAGCAGCTGCCATTTATGAGTGCTTACTGTATACCAGTTGCTTTTCATGCAAGCAACCTCATATCTGTTATTAGCCTAAGGCCATTACAAATCTACGTGCCACCCTTTTGTGCGTTAATTCATATCATCCCCACAACAGCTTATGCAATAGGTTCTGTCATCTCCATTTTACAGATGAGGATACTGGAAATTTATTGACTGATTGGAGACGGAGTCTTACTCTGTCACCCAGGCTGAAGTGAAGTGGCACAATCTCGGCTCACTGCAACCTCCGCTTCCTGGGTTCAAGCGATTCCCCTGCCTCAGCCTCCGGAGTAGCTGGGATTAAAGGCACACACCACCACAGCCAGCTAATTTTTGTATTTTTAGTAGAGATGGGGTTTCCCCACGTTGTCCAGGCTGGTCACAAACTCCTGACCTCAAGTGATCCACCTACCTTGGCCTTTCACCGTGCTGGGATTACAGGATACTGGGAGTTTAAATTACTGCTGGGAGCCCAGGTTCAGGTTCATTCACACAGGTGGTCAAAGGTGGGTTCGAATCCAGGTACTCTGACTCCAGAACCACCACCACATATTGCCTCCTCAGATTAAGTAGTTTTCCTAGGCCATGCTAGCTGATAAGAGGCTAAATCAAACCCAGGCAGCTGGGTCCCAAAATTCCAGCATTTAGCCACCACATTGACTGTTTACAAGTAGGTGAATCATTCATCACAACCTGTATGTTTATTTTCATTTCTGATAGAAATGAAAGTAGTGTGGTAGGTGGCATATTTATCACATAGTTTAGGCTTGTCTAACATTTCTAGGAATTTTCTTCTTTAAATTAAAAATAAGGGTCTATCAGGAAAAAAAGTGGTTTTTGTTTTTTGAGACAGGGTCTTACTCTGACCCCCAGACTGGAGTGTGGTGGTGCAATCATGGCTCACTGCAGCCTCGACCTTCTGGGCTCAAGCAATCCTAGTACCTCAGGCTCCTGAGGAGTAGCTAGGACTTCAGGCAAGCACCACCACGCCCAGCTAATTATTTTTATTTTTAATAGAAATGGGGTCTCACTGTGTTGCTCAGGCTAGCGTGGGCCTACCAAAGTGCTGTGATTACAGGCATGAGACACTGAACACAACCAAAAAAAAAAAAAAAAAGTCTTTTTGTATACTGAAGACTCTGCTTGGACAAAAATGTGCTCTTAAGGCTTCTTTTCACACACACACACATACACACACACGCACACGCACACACACACACAGCTTTTAATTATAGTCATTAGAGACCCAAGCCTTGGGACACAGGGACAGAAAATGACAAGAGCATGCAGGCAGTAGTAAACGCTGGTTGTACTTGTAACAAGTCCATGAAGCCTTGGCTCTGAACAGGGAAAATGAAGCATGCAGGGATTCACTTCTGACTTCAACTACCACCTTTCAGGGTGGGCTCAGCCAGGCCCGTGGTTCAATCTTTAAAGTGGGAACAAAATACGTATGCCTATGATCCAGACTGATCATATAAAACCGTGGATCCTGAAAGTACTTGGCAGTTCCCTCCTTGCAAGCCTTAATGACTGGCATCACACCCAAATAGGCCTGAATGCAGATATTTTCAAGGATCTCTGAGGCCCAGGAGAGACAAAGTTTTTCTCCATGGAAGGGCAGACTACTAGCCTGCCCCCCTTCCCCTCTGCTTCCTGCCTCTTTCTAGAAGGAGGCTGGAGTGTGGTGGGGAAGCCTGAACCCCTAAATCAAGTCCCCTTCTTTATGCCTGACCCAGGGCAAAATAATCTCCCCAATACTGTTCCTGACCATTGGAAAAGCACTTTCTTTGGTCGGGGTCGCACTCTGTCACCCAGGCACTGGCAGTTTACATGGGGGGCAGTTTAACCGCATTCGGACAGATGCTGAGGGAGGGGATTCCGCCACGAGCCGACTGAGAGGATCCCCGGCCCCGCGTGGTCCCTCCCCGCCACCCTCCCTCTGGGATTAGCTGCCCTGGCTCTGCTCAGGCGTCCCCAGCAGTCCCGGCCCGAACAGCCCCATCGCCTCTGCAGAGCGCGGCCGCAGCCTGGAGCCCGCCGCCCGCAGAGCTGCGCCGTCCGGGACAGCCCGGTGCACCGGGTCCGTGGACCTGGGACCTCGAACCCGGGACGGACGCAAAAGCCACTTGGAACACTTGCATTTCTGTAGGTGCTTATTTCTCATTCTTGTCTTTTCTTGGTTGATCGAACTGTTCGTGGGTTACTTTCTGCCTCAGTTAAACTAAAAGGGAAAGGCGGAAGAGGGGAAGCTCTGAAGAATGATTTAGGGGCTGCCCAGCCTCCTCTCCAAGGAGAGGTGTTCTCCGAGCGGCTTTCCCCGTCCCCGACACTGGCCCCTTTAAGAAACCAAGTCAGTCCTGATGCTGCTGTTTGTATTGCTAATCCCCAGGAGCCCCGTTAAAAAAAAAAGGGGGGGGGGGAGGAAAAAGGGGGAGGTGGGGGGACCGGGCAGCTGTCTCTTTAAATGTGATTTCCTTCTATTGTATTTGAATCGTGATCAGGAAAAAGGAAATGAAACCAGAGACAGAGGGAAGCTGAGCGAAAATAGACCTTCCCGAGAGAGGAGGAAGCCCGGGGAGAGACGCACGGTCCCCTCCCCGTCCCCAGGCCGCCGCCCCCTCTCTGCCCTCTGCGGCGAGCTGTGTGCGGAGACCCGGGCCGAAGGTGCGAGGGGCTCGGGGCGGCCGGGCGGGCGCGCACCATCCCCGCGGGCGGCGCGCAGCCGGTGATAGCGCGCCAGAGGGACCGGGCGGCGGCGGCGGCGGCAGCGGCGGCGGCGGCGGGACCGGGATGGAAGGTTAAGTCCTGAGCGGCAGCAGCAGCTGCAGCCTTCCGGGGCCAGGCTGCGCGCCCCGGCCCCCGCCTTGGCCGCGGCGCGCCCGCAGCCCGGTGATTCGCTCTCTCTCTTTGGCGTTTGAAGGGAGCGCGGTGACTGTCCTTGAGCGCGGAGGGGCGAGCTCGCCGCCGGAGCGCCAGAGCAAGCGGAGGCGCAGGAGCGGCGGCGCCCGAGCACCCGAGGGGGTCCGAGCCCCGGCAGCCGGCCAGCCCCGCGCGACAAAGGGAGCGCCCCCGCCGCCCGGCACGCCGCCTCCCTCCCCAATGTCCTCGGCCATCGAAAGGAAGAGCCTGGACCCTTCAGAGTAAGTGCGGCGCCCCTGCCCCTGCCACCCCCGGTGTCCACGGCCTCGAGTCCCGGGGTGGCGGGGGGGACCCGGGCGGCCGCCCGAGGGGGCTCCAGGTGCGCGCCCGCGGCGTGCCCTTGGCCCCCTGTGCCGAGCGCGGGGCTCCCTCCTTCCTCTCGGGTGACTCCGGGGGCTCTGGGAGAGGGTCTGGGAGGCAGGCGGCAGGGCGAGGGGTCGGCCCGGCGCCTCTGCGGGCCCCTCCAGGCTACCGGGACGCTCCCCAAAGCCACCGCGGGCCAGAAAGTTTGCACGGGAGCAGGCACCAGGAAAGCCCGGAGGCGCGCAGGTGCAGTCGGAAGAGCGTTCGGGCGTCACTGCTCCCTTCTCCCCTCTCGCTCCGTCTCGTCCCTTTCTCTTTGTCCATTTGGTCTTGGAAAGGGGAACATTCCAAGTGGAGGCCTCCGGGGTCCCCAACGGCCGCCTTCCCAGTACGCAGATGGAGCCGCTGCCAACAGCGCGGGTACCGGGCGGGTGAGGGGTCCGACCGACCACCTCGGAGCTGGCTCTGGGCCTCCAGGGATTTCTAAATCCGGAGTAAATCTGAGTACGCGTACCCCTCCTTGGGGTCCACCGATGGGGCCTGTGAACCTCGAAAGTTAGTGCACCATTTTGCGTGTAGGTTAATTCTTCTGGGGAGCAGAGTCTCATAGTTTTTAGCACAGTCTCAAAAGGGTTTGGGGTCAGGTAACCAGGGATCTAATGAGCATTGGCCGCATCTGTTTTCTGAGCCTCGTATCGGTTTGGAATGTTTCTCTATCACTGACCCATTCTTTAGTGTTAACATGGGGAGCAGGGGGTGTTTAAGATATTATTTTCCTGTCAACGCAAATGCCATTTTAAGAGTCATTGGCTGTCTGGTTTTGAGAATTTTTATTCCTTTGAAGTCCCCATCTAAGCCTTTGAAGAGATTTGTTACACAAGACCAAAGGAGCTGGTTAATGACTTGTCCATTTGTGCTTTTAAGAGACATTTGTTTTGTTTTGTCTTTTCCTGCTTTAAAAGAATTGTGCCTTCCTGCTTGAAATACCGCACGCACACACACATTCGCACGCGCGCACACACACACACACACACACACACACCCGTCAATTTCGGCTATAGTGTTTATTTACCTGGGTTTTACCCTCAGTTACCAGCATAAAAGCTCAGCAGGTTCTCATAAAACACAGGAAGTACCACCATCCAATGGGAATATAAACATCACTATTCAGTCTTGAAGGTTAAGACATCAGTTCTATAATGAGCCAGATTTGTTGTAGCAAAAACCCCCACTTCCTTCAACAAATTCTCAGAAGAAAAATAACATTCCTTTTTAAAAGTACGTTTATGCAAACAATGGGTTTAAAGGGTGGTTTGATCACGTCTTTAAATAAACTTAACAATTACAACTGAGCTCTGAGTTTCAGAGACTGGGCAAGATCATAGTAACACAATAAGGGAGTGAATTGGATGAATTGGTGCCTAATGCCTTTTTGATCAGCAGAATTCAGTCACTAATCCTTTCAGTAGGAGATAAATCTGAAGGTTTCAGTTCCCTGAAGGAAGTTTGCTTCTTTCAAAGTTTGTGCTTTCTCACTGAGGTTATAAAACTGAAACATCCTAACTTCCTAACACCACAGGTATCTACTGCTGGAGGCTCACCAGCTCTTTCCTTCACTTCACTATTTGCCCAATGAAAACAGGTTCTAATCAAAAAGGGACAAGCTGGTTGAGAAATTGCTGCAGTGCACTCTCCCCACTCCCTTACAAATTGTTATGAAATTATCCCAGAAATCCAGGCTGAAGTGATACTCAGGTGTAATATTCAAGATAGGTTCTGGGAGAATATAAAATATTAATTTGAGGGTGAATCAATCTCAGTCATTGTCTTGGATTGTCCACGAAGTATAATGTGATATTTTCATTAATTAAGTATGGAAAGACAGAGTCAATATCTTACACTTTACTTCTCCATCTCATCTTAGGCCATCACTGTAACTCTTTACTTTACATTCCTCCTGTGGTCCAGTATCCTACTAGATTCTTCATTGTGTACTTCCTCAAAGCCAGCTTGGGTCATTATAATCAGCATCTCCAAATTACAGATGGAGACTTGCCTAGCTATATGCAAATGAAACATTTGGACAGAAAGCCAGCCAGAATTCATGAACACAGAGATTCCCTTGCTATGCCATTGCTGGCCCCCGCTGCCTCCCGTGAGTAACAAGAGCAGTTCATTTGAATTCCAGGCAGTTTTGTACCAGCTAAGGGCAAATTCTCCTCTTTCACAGTCCTTTGGCAGCATCCAATGTGGTCAAGGTTCCATGAGTGGTTTGGAAAGCGCAGAGTAAGACCATGGGCTGTGGAAAGAGAAGAGATGCAATTCCCAGATGATACACATGAAAAAGCCAGGGTATTAGTTATTAGAAGGGAGAATGGTAGTCCTTATATACAATCTGTAGAAACGAGGGAAAGAAAGCAAGCCTTCAGTGAATTCTTAAAACTGCAGTCCTGATTTTTTTTGAGCTAAGGTCTCACTGTGTTGTCTTGCCTAGAGGGCAGTGCCCACTGCAGCCTCATCCTCCTGGGTTCAGGTGATCCTCCCACCTCAGCCTCCTGGGAAGCTGGGATTACAGGCTCATGCCACCAAGCTTGGGCAATTTTTTATACTTTTTGTAGAATCAGGGTTTTGCCGTGTTGCCCAGGCTGGCCTCCAACTCCTGGGCTCAAGTGATCCTCCTGCCTTGGCCTCCCAAAGTGCTGGGATTACAAGTGTGAACCTCTGTGCCTGGCCATTTTTTCTCCCCAGATAAACTAGCGTGAGCTTTACATTTACTTGTTCCAAAGATGATAATCTCATGAAGTGCAGTTACACTGTATCTACAAAGTGTGGACATGGCTTTGGCACTCCTAAATATTTGTAGGGAATACTTCATACTTTGCATGACAGAATCACCTTAAGTTGTCAGAGTATTATAGACATTGAGCCACCTGAGTCTCCTGTCCCCAAATATAATGGCTGCTGGGCTTTTTGGACACAGACCAATTAGGACACAAGGTCATCTGGTAAATTAGTGCCGGTTAGAAATAGGAGACATGGGCCGGGCCCTGTGGCTCACACCTGTAATCCCAGCATTTTGGGAGGCCAAGCCAGGTAGATCACGAGTTCAAGAGTTTGAGACCAGTCTGGACAACATAATGAAACCTCATCTCTACTAAAAATACAAAAATTAGCTGGGTGTGGTGGCAGGCACCTGTAACCCCAGCTACTCAGGAGGTTGAGGCAGGAGAATCTCTTGAACCCCGGGAGTGGAGGCTGCAGTAAGCTGAGATCCTGCCACCTGCACTCCAGCCCGGGCGACAAGAGCAAAACTCAAGGAAATAAAGAAAGAGAGAGAGAGAGAGAGGGAGGGGGGGAGGAAGCAAGGAAGGAGAGAGACATGGATTTATACCTGCAGTGTATCCAGGAAGAAAGTCCTTTACAGTTTGAAGAAGGTCCATTTTTGAAACACAATAGATTTTTAAGAAATAGATTTGTGTTTAAGTAAGGTTCCATAGAACACTTGCTAATTATTACAAATAAATAAGTATTAAGTTTTTCCCATGTCCCATTTGGGGGACACTAGAATCATTCCTTCCACTCCTTCATTTTCTTTTGGCAAAGTTATTGATTTTTAAATGTAAAAGAGTATTGAGATTCCAGTGAAGCCAAGTAGGCAGGAGATACTATGCATGGCATGTTAACGAAGGAACGCAAGCCACAGCCTACTAACAACTACTGGATTGAGATGTCACTGTCTGTTTAACTGCCTTCTACTCTCTCTGAAATAATCATTGCCCCTCTTCATTTTCTTCCTTAAATCAACTTCATCCAAATCAGTTTTACTATTATAAAAATGTTCAGGTGAGGAAAGACAGGCCTATTTGATGTTCTTCATAAATGTAACAACGGCCTCACAGTCTGGGATTTTCCTCCAAGAATTCCTTCAGTGGAAAGAATGGAAAATGGAATCTCTGTAAAAAAATTAAAAATTAGGAGAATTCCTATTACATTCTGAAGGAATTTTTAATTTGGCAAGAGAAAGCAACCTAAAATAAGTTTTGGTCTCATTCTTCTTTCTTCCTCACCTCTGCTTTTGTGCGGTTGGAAGGGCTGGAGGGGGCATGGAAATTTATTAAACAGGGGATTTGCAGATTCTTAGCACACTGGGTCATCCCCTGCCCTGGTGATGAGTGACTCTTTTAGTCCAGAGTGCCTCCTCTGAGGTTAGGCAGTGCCCTTGGGTCCGGGATATAGGAGGAGAAAAACGAGGGAGCTCCGTGAAGATAGAGAGGGAAGGTCAGCGGGGGGAGTGAGAAAGAGCAGGAGACCAGAGGTGCCCAGGTGGTGCTGGGCATGGGCTGGGCACAGTACCACCTGTAGTTGCCTTTGATGCCTCTTGGTGCCCTGCGTTTACTTCTTAGAGATCTAGGGCGTCAGGTCTAGCTCTCTCCCGTCTTAACCCAGAGTGGGCTGGGTCTTTGCAGTCAGTCTGGCCAAGGGATATATTGTACTGTCCCTTCTCCCTTAGGTCACCAACAGGCAGTCAGATGAGATGCGTAAACTGATCTCGGCCTCTCGGTGCTGGTCTCCCTCTGGTGAGGTTGTCCCTGATGCTTGGCCTTCTCTCCAGGGAACCAGTGGATGAGGTGTTGCAGATCCCCCCGTCCCTGCTGACATGCGGCGGCTGCCAGCAGAACATTGGGGACCGCTACTTCCTGAAGGCCATCGACCAGTACTGGCACGAGGACTGCCTGAGCTGCGACCTCTGTGGCTGCCGGCTGGGCGAAGTGGGGCGGCGCCTCTACTACAAACTGGGCCGGAAGCTCTGCCGGAGAGACTATCTCAGGTACCCTCCCTGGCACCCCTCTACGGCCCTCGGGAGGGAGGCCGGGTGGTCATGGACATCTGCAGTCTGTGCGTGTTGCCCTGACCCTGCTCCAGGCTCAGACACCACCTGTACAGTGAGCTCAGGCTGCAGAGGCTGAGTCTCAGCTCCCGTGCTGAGAAGCAGTGAGCATTTCTTCCTGTTTGAGAATCATGTTCTCAGGGTTATGTTCCTATGTGGTAAAATACTAATATCTTTAAAGGCAAGAGAATTGTACACACAAAATTCAGAAGAGTGGTTCCCTCGGGGAGTGGAAGAGGCCAGGGGATAGGGCTGAGGAGGAGTATGCACAGAGGATCATAGGAACTGGAGGTGTTTCTGTTTATAAGTTTGGAGGTGGGCTCTGAGGAGCTCATTTGAATGCGTCAGAACACACACACACACGACAAATATTCTTTTGTATGACTCCGGTATTACATGATGAGAAATTTAAAAATAGAAAGTGTATGGAGCTCCAAGCATTGACTCATAGCAGGAAGGCAGTCTTCAAAGGACAGAAGGGCAAAGACCCTGCAGGCAGTTGGAGGTTCGCATTCCAACACCGTTGCTTCCCAGCTTGCTGGCCTTGGGCAAGTGACTTAACCTCCCTAAGCCTCAATTTCCTCATCTGTAACCTGGGGATGATAATACCACCTAGTTCTACAGACATGGGGAGGATTTGATGAAATAGTGCAGATAAACGACTTGGCTTGGTATGGATCAAATAGGTGTTAGCTGCTCTTATAACTTATCCTCATGACATAATCATTATTTTCCAATCTAATGAGCAAAGGGATGGAAGAATGGAAGGGTAAAATAGGAACTCGACAATGTCAAGCAAGACAGGAGCTGAGGGCCCGGAGCAGTGGCTCACGCCTGTAATCTCAGCATTTTGGGAGGCCGAGGTGGGTGGATCAGGAGATTGAGACCATCATGGCTAACATGGTGAAACCCCATCTCTACTAAAAATACAAAAAGTTAGCCAGGTGTGGTGGCACGCACCTGTAATCCCAGCTACTTGGGAGGCTGAAGCAGTAGAATCACTTGAACCTGGGAAGCGGAGGTTGCGGTGAGCTGAGATTGCGCCACTGCACTCCAGCCTGGGCCACAGAGCAAGACTCTGTCTCAAAAAAAAAAAAAAAAAAAAGTCAGGAGCTGCGGACATCTCCCATGCTCTGGGCCATCCTATTGGCCATCCGAATTTTCCAGCACTTTGTGAATGCCTTTGCCTAGAATGTATTAGCATTTCTAGTTTCTTATGAGCTGCTGTGAAGATAACTCTCTCTGTGCCCTGCTGTGAAGGTAACTCTCTCTGTGCCCTCTACTGTCAGATCTGCTGAGCAGTGTAGCTGTCAGTATGTCTCCGTCTTCCTGGAGCAGAGGGCCTGTGAAGGATGCTTCCCTGATGCATCAGAACCATCCAACCCATGGAAGCTTGTTGAGACCTTAGCGCCCTTGGCTACTGGGCCAGCTTTTCCTCCCAAACCTGCCCTCAGAGCATTTTACGAAACAGAAACAGAAACCAAACCAAACCAAAAAACTGCAGGTAGTTTCACAGTGAAGGAAGCTTATTCATTTACCTGAAAACTGATGGAATAAGATTTTCCCCTTCTTGAATTCCCAGATAAAGTCCTTGCAGATATGGTGGTTCCAAGACAGTAAGTAATGTTTTTCAATGATCATACTTATAATTGTGGTCAGTTTTCTTTGTTTTTAAGTCACAAAAAATAGAACTGGGATAAATACAAACCTGGTTTTGCTCACTCCCAGTTTGCCAAGTCAGTGAGAAGGCAGACGAGGCGGATAAATGATTCCCATCGGACCCTTGACTCCATCCTTGTCAAATCATTTGAATCTTATTAAATGAAGAGCAGATAGAGTAAGGTCAGAAGAGCCCGGCTTCTCCCTATCTCTACCATTTTATATAACACTCAGGAATAAAACCAGTGCTGCCTGGGCTTGTTAATCCTTTTTATTTTCAAAAAGGAGAGGAAAAAAAAAACAGTCTGGAAGAACCCAATGTTAATTAACTTATGTCTTGGTGACATGAAATAATTCTCCTCCTGCCATATTCCTAGGCAACATGTTAATTACCTCTCCGTTAGTGCAGGCATTTCCAGCCATCCTTTAATATTTATATTATTGTTATGAAAATGTGCAGCAGAGAGCTTAAGATGGGACACCTCTTGACAGAGGAGAAAAATTGCCTTTTGCTTCAGGGATGGTCCTTTAGCCATGGTCTTGTTAACTTGGATTCTTAGTATATCTGGCAGGAGCTATTTTATTTTATTTTATTTTGAGACGGAGTTTTGCTCTTGTTGCCCAGGCTGGAGTGCAATGACGTAATCTCAGCTCACCGAAACCTCCGCCTCCCGGGTTCAAGTGATTCTCCTACCACAGTCTTCCTAGTAGCTGGGATTACAGGCACCTGCCACCACACCCAGCTAATCTTTTTGTATTTTTAGTAGAGATGGGATTTCTCCATGTTGGTCAGGCTGGTCTCGAACTCCCGACCTCAGGTGATCTGGCAGGAGCTTTTAACAAGGCAAATTGGAAGAGTGGCTGAACAGACCCTCTGATGGGGTTGAGTTCTTCACCCCTAGGATAATTTGTCCCCTTGAGGATTTCCAATGGCTGAGTGGCATGTTATAGTTCTTTTCAGACATTTAGCTTCAAATATTCATGAGGCCCCCGTGCAGAACCTCAACTCTGCCGCTGTATTCTATTGTTGGGAACCCCAGAGCAGCTGTTCGTGTCTGTGCTGAGCCAGATCTCCTTGGATCCCTTTTCACCAGTTTGTGTGCTGGGAGTGGCGGGCTGGTGGTGATGGCAGTGGTTTTGCTTCTAACAGCCAGCACCTGCATCTGTTAGAGCTAGAAGTATGTGTGCCCCGACTAGACCCCCAGCGGACCTTAACCAATGACAGACGTGGTGGGAGTACCAAGCCCAGCAGCCTTGCCTGAAGCCAGGCATAACTTATATTCCAGGGTCCCTCCCCTCCGAGGGACTTTGCCTGAGGTTGCAACTTGGCCTGGCTTCCTTCCCTTCCCTTCAGCCTCCCCTGCTGCCTTCCAGGTTTTTCCTGAGAATGCATTATTCATAAATCACTTGCACATAAATCCTTGCCTCGGGGGCCGCTTCTGGGATATCCAGCATAAGATACCAATTCTTGGTGCCAGAAGTTAATGCTCAAGTTAGGTGTCGAGTCCCGGTTGATTTTTTACTCATATTAGAATCTCAGCATCCCAGAGCTGGAAGGGGCTGCAGGGGGCTACTCTCTCAGTTCCCTTGCTTTACAGCTTAAGTCACAGAAGCCTGTACAGGAGTTGCCATTTGCTCAGGTCACCTGGCCAATTAGAGGTGATGCTGGGACCTGAACTTGTCTCCCACATACTCATCCTTTGTCCTTCCCTTCATTAGCTGCCTAATGTGGATTGTAATTTACCCCCTGACTTCCCTGTAATAAGCTCCCTCCTTCCGTAAGGATCACACACCCCAGGCAGTTGGATTCATTCCATGCACACTGTTTCCTCAGTCGTTCATCCTTGCTCAGGCCCAAACTTAACTTACTGAACAGTCAGGAAACCAGAACTGTCTTTCCACTCCGTGACCTCCAATGTGGCGGTCACCTGCAGCTCCACCATCTGCTACGTTGGGATAAAATGTTCTCCCCAAGTAATGAGTTTGCTCCCAGGCAGTGCTTTGAAAACGCTCGGAGATCTTCAAATGGGAAGCAGGATTCAGAGGAAGATTAGCTGGCCCTGGACCGAACAATGAGCTCTCTACTCACAGACCACCTCTTCTCAATTCCATTAATTTTGCCCAAATATTACAAAATGTGTCAACCACCCTACATCCCCTACAACCTCTCAGAACGTAGCAACTGATTCTCTGATATCCTGAAATCAATCAGAACTTCCAATAAGAACAAGCATTCACCTGAAACTGTCCTAAAGGTTTTATGTAGAAACCACCTGCTAATATGCTAAGTTTTCAGCCATGAGTGAAAATTGCTTCCTGCAGCAAGACTGGTGCAGCTGGGAATACACCCAAGATGTGTTAAAACCTAACCGGCGTTGGTGTAGCCCTTGACCATGGGTGCCCTGACATGCTTCGTTTGGTCATTCTAACAGCTGAGTGGGGTAGAGCCGATGGTGGCCCATTTCACTGAGGCTCCGAGAAATCAGAGGCCTCCGTAGGGTCACTCAGGGCTGGTCTGGGACATTGAAGCTGGGTCTTCTCTGCTTCCAGTACTTGTGTTACTGCACTTTTGCTGTTGATTCTCAAACTTTAGCCTGCATTCAGTCCTCCGGAAGTGCCCATTAACACAGACTACTGGGTGCCCTCCCCAGGGGGTCTCGGTTGGGTGGAGAGGGAGGAGGGCTGAGAATTTGTATTTCTTTTTTTTTTCTTCTTTCTTTCTTTTTTTTCTTTTTTTTTTTTTTTTTTGAGTCAAGGTCTGGCTCTGTGGCCCAGGCTGGAATGCAGTGGCATGATATCGGCTCACTGCAACCTCCACCTCCCAGGCTAAAGCCATCCTCCCACCTCAGCCTCCCAAGTATGAATAGCTGTGACTACAGGCATGCACCACCGCACCTGGCTAATTTTTGGATTTTTTTTATAGAGACAGAGTTTTGCTATGTTGCTCAGGCTGGTCTCGAACTTGTGAGCTCAAGTGATCGCCTGCCTCGGCCTCCCAAAGGGCTAGGATTACAGGTGTGAGCCACTGGGGCCGGCCTGAGAATTTATATTTCTAACCTGTTCACAGGCAGTGTGGATGCTGCTGGTCCCAGGACCAAAGCTTTGAGAACCATGTACTGAACCCTGCCATGTTCTGTCTCCCCCTTGACACTGAATACTGCCTGAAATAAGTAACTGATGAACAGGCTTGGGAGAATCTTGATTTAAATGTCAGAAAAGAAGTTTCCCTTTTGACTCATGCCAGTGGGGCAGCAAGGACCATGAATTAAGATCTTCCATTCATGGTGGAGAGCTGCTGTTTGTCCTCCGTATCTCAGAGGCACGATGAGCTGCAGCACATGATTCCTGTGGAACTCCCCATCTCCCGGCAGCTGGGGCCCCAGTGAATAATCAGGGGGAGATGTGCTTTGCAGCTTATGGAGATATTCAAGGCCAGCTCTCCCCAGGGGTAGCATCAGCAGCTGTTGACATTATAGAGTTTGGGAGCCTCAGAAGAATGCCCATTTTATTGCAGTCCTGGTCAGTATCCTCTCAAAGGGGCTCCTCGGGTCTCACTCCAGCTGCTCTTCTGAAATGAGGGTTCCCCTGGGAGGGGACAGGTAAGACTTGCCTAACTCCTTATCGTAGATCACATCAGCTGAGAGTCTCCCCCACAGAGGAGGAGCCAGGGGGCAGCCTAGCGGAATGGGGAACGGTTGCTGCAAATAGGGCGAGGGCTCAAAAAAGGGAGGAATTTTGCCAGATCCAAATGCCAGTTTCATCAGGGTTTCCTCTGCCTGCTGGGAAAGACTGCACTAGCCGGCCTTCCTTCTGGATCCGACCTTTCCCGGCTTCCTGACATCTGAAAGTCCGGCCTCCTTTCTGGGGCTCATCCCCGAGCCCTGCCTTCCAGGATTGTCCCTTTCACTGTCTTCTTAGCTTTTCTTTCTTTTGCCCCAGGCTTTTTGGGCAAGACGGTCTCTGTGCATCCTGTGACAAGCGGATTCGTGCCTATGAGATGACGATGCGGGTGAAAGACAAAGTATATCACCTGGAATGTTTCAAATGTGCTGCCTGTCAGAAGCACTTCTGTGTAGGTGACAGATACCTCCTCATCAACTCCGACATAGTGTGCGAACAGGATATCTATGAGTGGACTAAGATCAATGGGATGATATAGGCGCGAGTCCCCCCGGGCATCTTTGGGGAGGTGTTCACTGGAGACACCGTCTCCATGGTGTCTTCACTCATAGGCACTTTGGGGGTTTGAGGGTGGGGTGAGGGATTTCTTAGGGGATGGTAGACCCTTACTGGGTACCAAGACATAGCATCCAAGTGGCATAATGCAAGGGCTGACACTTCAAGGTGACAGAAGGACCAGCCCTTAGGGAGAACTTACGGCCACAGCCCAGCCATAGTAACTGACATGATTAGCAGAAGAAAGGAGCATTTAGGGGCAAGCAGGCGCTGTGCTATCATGATGGTTTCATATCTACAGATAGGGAGTTGTTGTGTAAAGACTTGTGACTTTGATGCTTGCAGACTAGAGACGTGCAATTGATTTCTTTCCTTCCTGGCTTGTGTAACACCCCTGTTTCAATCACCGTCCTCCGCACGAGGGAAGGACAGAGAGGAGAGCGACCATTCTTTTTTTTCTGGGCCACCTTCCCAAGGCCTTAAGCTTTGGACCCGAGGAAAACCGCATGAAGACACATTTTGGTTGAGAATGGAAACCACAACTTTTAACCAATGATTTAAAGCAATGTGGATGAATTACTGTTTTTAGACACCTTCATTTTGAGGTGGGGAGTTCCACAGATTGTTTCTATACAGATATAAATCTTAAAAAAAAAGTTGTTCAACTATTTTATTATCCTAGATTATATCAAAGTATTTGTCGTGTGTAGAAAAAAAAAAAAACAGCTCTGCAGACTTAATAAAAATGACAGACTGAAATGCAGTGTTGTTTATTTGCTTACGACTTATAATTTGGGATGGCGGGGAAATGGTCTGCGTTTTCTATTGTAAAAGAGAAGCAAATATGCAATTTACTCTTAGGTCAAATACAAACTTCTATGTGTTGCAAGGGTTTGTATGAGGCAGGCACATTTCTATATTACTGGCAATTATATAACAGGTCATCATGTAGCTCAGAGGGATGTAGAATAATTAAATTGTTATTGTAAAATATGCATTTCACTTCAGCATTGTATGAAGGGAGTGGAAGGCAAGATCATTGCCTTTGGGAAACTTGTAACCTAGAAAGGACACAAATACATAAAGCAGATTCCCTTTGGGAGAGAAGGTAATTACCTAGTTTGAAATGTGGCAAAGATGCTGAGCTTGACACTTCGATTTTCCACGACGGGTGTCTCAGGGTGTTTTATGACAAGTGGTTAAGAGGACCTTTACTTTGAGGATTTAGAGCAGGCACCTTGGTTTGTGTATTTGCCTTGACCTGAGTCAGGCCGCCCCCATGAACTGACACAGAGCGCCACCTGCTGGCCATCACCTCAAAGTGTTCTAGCCCAGGAGGGTCTCAATGAAGGACAAACCTAGAGGAAGATGTTTTTCAATGATTTCCTTAGAGTACTGCTAGATGCAAGAAGTCTAAATGCGTTTAGTTATTAAAACATAAGAAACATGCAGTTAAGGGTATCGTTAACTATAAGATTCCTGTAAGATCTTCCTAAGGTTTGTGATCTTTTTTATTTTTAATTTTTTTAAATCCCAGGACAGAGAGACAAATGACTTTTTTTTCTTCTGGAGGAGAAATAATGAAGTGATGGCTCTCTTGGTCTGTAAAATGCTAAAAGTGGTTGGGAAATTTGACTGCTTAAGGTGGCTTATTTAAAACAAATCCAGTTACGTTGCGTTCCAGCTCAGGGGGTGGAAAGGCGCTACCAGTGAGGGGATATTTGTTCTAACTCAATTGTTCTCAAACTTTCTGGGGACCAGCAGAATCAACACCACCTGGGAACTTATTATTATGAAGGAACAGATTCATGGGCTCCCCCTCCAGACACCCTAAATCAGAAAATCGGGATGAGGGGGTTCAACAATTTGTGGGGTATTTGTTTGTTTTGAGACAAGATCTTTCTCTGTTACCCAGGATGGAGCACAGTGTCATGACCGTGGCTTGCTGTGGCCTTGACTTCTTGGGCTCAAGCAACCCTCCCACCTCAGCCTCTGTAGTAGCTGAGGACTACAGGCTCACACCACCACGCCCGGCTAACTTTTGTATTTTTGGTAGAAATTGGGTTTCCCCATGTTGCTCAGGCTGGTCTTGAACTCCTGGACCCAAATGATCCACCTGTCTTGGCCTCCCAAAGTATTGGATTACAGGGGTGAGCCATCATGCCTCACCTGTGTTTTAATAAGCCTGAAAGATGATTCAGACTCATGCTTAAGTTTGAGAATGGCTACTCTAAAACATCTCCCAGTTTGGAAGATCAAGCATTCCAAGTTATTAATATTTGATACAAAGGTTAATCACTGAAACTCGTCCACATGCAGATACTGTCTACCCTTGGTCCCTAAACTGAAAACTTTCACATATATTCATCACTCATTTGTTTTGCACATCATCTCCCAAATCAATCACAATTTAATTCACCATTTTACACCATATTTACAGTAATAATAATGGTAACAGATTTTATCTATGCAGTTATCCTATAAGCAGCATTAAGTAAAACTACAAATGATCATTGCTTTGGAAATGTAAACTTTATACTTAATTCCCATTGTAGCACAATACACATTAAGATTCGAGAAATTAGCCAATATTTTTGTCATGCAAAATAAAAAAGCGCCGTAATTGACCTTTTCCATTTGTCAATGGCACCGTCTTGCAGAATTGTGGATGTGCAGGCAGTCTTTGTCCTGCGTCATCCCAGTGGCCCAAATATCTAACCCACAACTGACATAAGAGGAAAGACATGTAAAGGGGCCCAGAGGGGCCAAGCTCCCGAGGTCTACCCTGGTGGTTCTTGCATGAATGTGTTACCAGTGTGTGTCCTAGACCCAGGGTCAGAACTGATACCTGCTCTCTTTCCTGGTCTATGCCCTCATTAAAGCAGTTTGCTGGAACATTTTGCTTCCTCTCATCTCTTTTTTGTTGTTTGTTTGTTTGTTTGTTTGTTTGTTTTTGAGATGGAGTTTTGCTCTTGTTGCCCAAGCTGGAGTGCAATGGCATGATCTCAGCTCACCGCAACCTCTGCCTCCAGGGTTTAAGCGATTCTCCTGCCTCAGCCTCCCGAGTAGCTGAGATTACAGGCATACACCACCATGCCCAGCTAATTTTGTATTTTAGTAGAGACAGGGTTTCACCATGTTGGTCAGACTGGTCTCAAACTCTCAACCTCGGGTGATCTGCCCACCTGGGCCTCCCAAAGTCCTGGGATTACAGGTGTGAGCCACCGCACCCAGCCACTTCCTCTCATCTCTTGAATGTCTTTTGCCCCAAACCAGCTTCCTTTCATTGCTGCTTCTGATAGAACCACTACCTTTCAGGAAATCTTGGAGCTCTACAAAGTTAAAATAGAACAAGCGTCTAGGAGCTTTATCATCTGAAGACTTGGATTTGAATTGCAATGACATGACTTTAATTGCTTAATAGCCATTTACATAGCACTTACGTTTGCCAGCACTCTTCTAGGAGTTTTACATATATTAACCCCTTGAGGCCACATAACCTGGCTCGGTGGCAGTTTCTGTTTCTTATCACCTGCATTGTGCTGCCAAGGAAAATGAAGTGCTAACTTCCTAAGGTCCTGTGACTAAGAAGTGACAGAAGTCGTTTTAACCGAGGCGCTTCACCCTGTGCCCTGCTGTCTCAAAGGCTTACCTCACTCAACAGCGGGTTTCCTTGTCTGCAAAAGAGGGAGAACACCTTCCATCCCAGAGTATTTGGGGTTATTTGAGTTTAGGCAGAAATGTAAAAAAAATACAATGACACAGGATTAGCACCACAATAAAGAAATGTAAAAAGTGCTCTCAAAATGCAGATAAGGGAACATTTAAATTGGCCCAGGCATATGTGTCCAGAGTAAAAAGGAAGTGGCATTTGAAATGGCCTTGGACCTGGAAGAGCAAAGACTTGGGGACCTTGACCTTGCAGCGTTAGTACTTCAGTGAGCCTAGCTTGTGTATGGGCATTGGCTGGAGAGGGGCTGCGGTGAGCCAGTGAAGGGTTTACATTTTGATGCTGTCATTTTCTGGTGGGGTGCCCTTAATTCCCAGGTTTCACAAGATCTGGGCCCTGTGGACATGGCTGACCTGTGACTTGACCTTGGACCCTCAGCTCAAGCCCCTCCTCTTCCAGGTAGCCCCCTCAACCTCTTTAATTTATAGCCACTCATCCAATAATTCTGAAACTTCAGTGCTTAGAAATCTCTGAATCAAGAGGAGAAACTATTAATATGCTGGCTCCTAGACCAAACTGCAAACCTGCAGAATCAGGATCTCTTGGATAGGGCCCAGGAATCTACACATTCATCAGCAACTCCTCTTCCTTTGTTGTCCCCTGACTTCAAGAAGTCATTGCTGCTAAACCCTGAACCCCGAGTTCCACAAAATCACAGACACTGTCTCTGGTTTACCCTTGTGTTTCCAGATTGTAGCATCTGCCTGGCATGTAGTGCTCAATATATTTTCTTCCTTCCTTCCCCTCCTTTCCTTCCCTCCCTCCCTCCCTCCCTCCCTCCCTCCCTTCCTTCCTTCCTTCCTTCCTCCATCTCACTTTCTTTCTCTCTTTCTTTTTTTTTTAATGAGACAGGATCTTGCTATTTGCCCAGGCTGTTCTCAAACTCCTGGGCTCAAGCAATCCTCCTGCCTCCCAAAGTGTTGGGATTGCAGACGTGAGCCATCACCCTCAGCCTCATTGTTATATTTTGTTTTATTTTAAACTTCATTCTCTACTTTTCTTTCTTTCTTTCTTTTTCCTTTCCTTTCCTTTCCTTCCTCCCTCCCTCCCTTCTTTCTCTTTTCTTTCTTTCTTTCTTTCTTCTTTCTTTCTTTCTCTTTTCTTTCTCTCTCTCTCTCTCTCTCTCTCTCTCATTTCTTGATGAAGTCTCACTCTGTGGCCCAGCCTGGAGTGCAGTGGCACGATCTTGGCTCACTGCAACCTCTACTTCCTGGGTTCAAATGATTCTTCTGTCTCAGCCTCCTAAGTAGCTGGGATAACAGGTGCGCACTACCATGCTCAGCTAATTTTATATTTTTTGTAAAGACAGAGTTTCACCAGGCTGGTCTTGAACTCCTGACCTCAGGTGATCCACCCGCCTTGGCCTCCCAAAGTGCTGGGATTATAGGCATGAGCTACCGCACCCAGCCTGTTCTCTACTTTAAACGTTGATTTTAGAAGAAGGCCTTTTCCCAAACTAGCTATAAGTTCTTTATCATCACCCGCAGCATTTAGGCCATTATTACATGTGTGGAAAAGGAGAAACAAATATTTATGGCATGAGAAGCTAAGAGGAAGGGTTAGTAAGTAAATAAATAAGGGAGATGAAGTTTTTTATAATTTTAAGACTAAATGGTAAATCAAAATCAAAGTAGGGAGTAAAACCCAGAAATTTGCAGGGAAGTGGCAAGGAAAATGCAAGATAAGCTGAAACATCTTGTTATGCCAGAAAGTAAGGAAATAGCAATAAATAAATTTTAAAAATGGAAAAAAATGATCTAAACATGTCATAAGGACAAAGGAGCCAGCTTAAAGGGGCTCTCAATAGCCAACTCTAAGACAATTTGATTATCAAAACAATTAAGAATTACAGTAATGAATTGAGGATAGTAATGAGTTTTAAGCATGGCAGGGGGTAGAACTCATGAGTTCATACCAGTGATACATAAATGAGGGAGAAGGAAGGACTCATGTTTACAGCAGAATCTTGAATGCCAACTGGTAAATGGGAAGACAGCATGCAAGCTGGAAAAATCATCTTTTGGCAACT